TAAATCTGACACTAAAGAAATCAGATTTATTCAATTTTTTAATTATTAAATTATGCGTGGCCCTAGTATATCATCCTTTCTTTAAGGTGACTAGGGTGAGGCAATTGATTTACTGTATCAAATATAATAAATATTTTTGAGGTTTCCGGAACAAAATTCATCATTTTCAACTGTTTTTGTTGCACTTTATATCCACAACCCGTTTGCAAACACAATCTCATAGCAAAAGCAAACTATTTACCTTTGTGTAGAAACCATATAGTCATTAGCGATTTAATTCCGTTGAGACGTGTCTGCCCGAAGTATCCCAAATGAAAATATAACTTTCTTAATGATAATCTGTAAAGCACGTAGCGCCGTGACGACCAACGTATCTGGCAACCCAAACAGAAGGTTTTATGAGTCACGTAATACCGCGACCGTTCCCAGGACGGGTACAAGAGCACGAAAAATAATTCTGTGAAGCAAATAATGCCGTGACGACCAATGGGAATCTGAACAAAATACCAAATATGTGAGAGCAGGTATCAAGTGAACACGATCCCGCGTATTTATGCTGTGCAGTTTTTTTTTCTTTTGACTTTATTAATTTTTTTTTTTTTTTTGCTTTATAAATATCTTTTCCAATGGTATTTGGTGACAAACTTGATGGGTTTGACAAATTGCTCGGCAAACTTGATATATTGTTGTTCAACGTATTAATATCATTATTTGACAAATCGTACGGCACGGCAAATTTGGTTCAATGATAATAAACCTCCCAAAATAACACAAGGAGTCGTATCTGATGTCGAGTATACCATGAAAAATATTTGGAACAAACACCACATATATACTCTTTTTGGGATGACGTTTTTGGAAGAGTAAATCATGGTTGGGTCACATTGACTAAGATATCTGGGAATATACAACATTTGTAATTTAGACATATAATGTTAAACATCGGTAACATTTTTTACAACTTCATTGACGTGTTTACAACTAAGGTTGGGTGACAAAACGTCTTCTTTTCGTCATATGCAGAAAATAAATCTTACGAGATAAGATTTCTACACTTTAAGGTGACAAAATGACAATCATTTTGTGAATTACATCTTGGTTCAGAAGTATATTGGCTGTATAGGTAACTGACTGTTTAAATTCATGGTGCCAAATTCTAATTTACCAATTCCTCTGAAATGCGGTTTCATATTTGTTTAGAATTGAACTAATGATTTATTTAACTACAATCAAGGATTGGCTCGGGACATTCTTGTCTGATGTATGTTTACATTACTCGGCATCTTGCAAATATTGCACAAAAATCTGGAATCGTGAAACATCAAGGCTCATTTAGTTAATAAATGTACTGGATGTCATTATCCTATCTCTCGTTTTTATTTGGATGAGGTAACAATCAACAAATCAAGGAAATAAACAAACCAAATTGCCTAAACTCTTTTGTCAAACTTTTATGAAAGCACATATTTATTTCCTGTAGGAGATCTTTCTCACAGTAGCCACACGTGTCAGTTCTTGATGAAAAAATCTTGATGAAATCAGATCACAAAAATTCGTGGCTATAGTAACTGAATTAGCTAGAGAAATAGCTTCCCTCGTATATTTAATCTTAGGCGTATTTCTCAACGCTTCATCGTGTAATCGAATAATTAAGTTTTAAAAAATCACATCAAGATTATTAATAATTATAATATTGTTGGTAGAGGGTTAAAAAATATTTGTCAAACTCGGTGGACATCAGTCTATGACACTTTATCATAGTTTGCACGTTTATAATCACGCTTTATTTCAAATCTAATTAAGGGATATAATTTTTTAATAGCGCGTTCAAAAATATTTTCAATGAGAGATTCTTGCAATCAGAAAACACAAATTTTGCAAATTTTTATCTAGATCTTGTTGAGTTAGCTGTTGTAGAAAATTCTGCACTAATAAATTTAATTTACGTTGGAAGTAATTTAATCATGCAAGGTATTTATTTATTAGCATATTTCTTACATTCGGGTTATAAAGAAATTTGAATCAATTTCAAAAAAATCTCATTATGTTGTTGTCAAAATTTAAAATGTGAGTATTAATGATACTTTTAACATTGATCTTTGACGTAATTAAGTATCGACTAAAAGTAGTTTTTAACTTTTGAACCCTTGACAAAAGTAAAAAAATCTTGACGCTTAGATTATTTTCACGTGACTTTACCATGTGACTACAATATATATAACTCTAGGTTTATCATCTGAACTTTGTGCTAATTTTTTTAACAAAATAGTTATAGAAGAATTGTTTTTTTAAAAATCAAGATACGCGTATACTCAAACCGCATCCGAGTATAAGTTATATTTGTTCAGAGTGAAACCAATCGTGATGCTAAATGATCCAGTCCCAGTTGGCGGCATTGGCACAATAATCAGTAGATTGTGATCAAGCAATAAAATATTACTTTACGATACAGTGTCCAGCATTGAAATTTGTAAAAGTAATTTGATGTGGTATTGATAATGACGGTTTCGTTTCTGAAATAACGATAGAAACAGGTCCACCAAATTTGATTCTGCGGCGCTGTACTATCAAACAATTGTGCTGCTACTTGCTTATTTTATTATATGGAGGAAGTGAAAAAAGATATTTCAAATTAAATTGAAAATTGAAAATTGTGAAGAGGAATTTATTCAATCAAAAATGATTATTAGTGTCGTATTATTTAAACATTAATATGGTGTAAGATTGGTATCATAATTGTTTTTGAATTGTTTCGCTTTCAATTATATACAAATCTATAAACAAAGAAAGAAACACGTATAAGAACCGTTATAAAAATATAATAATAGAGACGGATAAAATTAAAATATTATGCAAGTTGAAAAAATTAATCTGAACTATTTCTATTGACAAATGATAAATAAGGCAATTACAAAAAAGATAAGACTTGTACGATAACTTTGGCGTCGATCTTATGATCACAATATTAACCAAGGATTGAGATTAAAAGTATTTAATAATGAATATTATTTTCTTATGATGATTTAAATGATATTGAAAAGATTGGTAGATGGAGTGGATTTGCGACTATATATAGAGCTAGCCACTTGTATAAATGTCAGAGATGTTGCAATATTTCCGATGGGACGTCAAGACTTTTTTGTTATTTTATTAATGATAATTCTTAGTTTAAAAATTATGTAAATTAACTGATATTACAAAGAATATCTCAATATATTTGTAATGAAATATTTAATAATGGAACCTTCAAAATTATTTATCAAAAATTAAAGTTGAGCCGAGAATGTTTTTAGAGCACTGCATAGTTACACCTGAAGTTAAAAGACCAAAAATAAATATCTATTATACTGATGTCAGCAGTGTCATCAGGTCAATGACCATTTAGCAATATTGCACACGGTACAGGTCTTGTAATGAAGGTATATGAAGGAATATCCAAAACTTTGTATGGAATTAGCATAGATGCTTCAAATCCGAATAAATGGCCAACTGCTGGAAAAATATTAAATATTGATGTATTTCCAGCAAGATAGTATTACTACTAATAATGGCAATTATCAAAGATACTAAATTAATATCTTTTATGATAACATATTTATTTGACTGATCGGTATTAAAGCATTTTTCATATTGAATAAATAACTGATGACGGTAATAATATGTATTATTTGATTTTTATTTATTTAAATAAATCCAATCTAGATGAAAATTAATAAAATTTTAATTAATAAATTGTTAATAATAAATTAAATCAATGATGAATATATTATGAGAAAAAATAGAAACCTTATTAGCAACATCTAAAGCTTCAACGTCACTTGTAAGACGTACATAAGCCTTCTTAGTTCCATCAGGTCTGATAATAAAAGATTAATATTAATATGTTTTCATATTTGAATAAAAAAATTTTTAAATAAGAATCTCAGCTCACCTTATCAATGTATTAATTTTTTGAGCATCTACATCATACATCTCTTTAACTGCATCTTGGATTGACTTCGAAATGCAACCCAATGGAAATTGGAGCCTCCCTATTACACCCCAAATTTCCGTTGCATCATATCTTAGTGGATAAGAGAGTCGGATTCGCTTTTCAGGAGTTAAGGATAACTAGAATTCAAGTCTTGAAAGAATAATTTTCAAAAAACAAACAAACAAACAAAAAACAAACAAATAAATAAATAAATAAATAGATAGAAAGATAAATAAATAAATAAATAAATAAATAAATAGATAGATAGATAAAAATAAATGGAATGTTGAAAAAAATCTTTATATTTACATTCTATATGCCCATTTGTTGAAGGTGGCATATATACGTTGGATATCTCTCATTTCTTCTGTGATCTCGTTTCTTGAGGAGAGCAGATAAAGAAAATTTTTACAAATAATAATTAATAGTTGGAATGGATAGATTGGTGCTACACTGGACGACAGAAAAGCCATCAACTAACTTTCCAGAAATGGTATCTGCTCATTAGGATGAAAATAATTGGTCAAGATACTTTCAGTGGTATATTCTCACCTAGCCAAATTTTATTGCTAAAACTCTTAGTCAGCTCGTATCACGATGATCTTCATAAATCTTATTGGCTAAAATTTTGTTCATGTGATAAATTCAAAGCTTCCCGCCCCTTAATACCCCTTGTATCACTTGTTTAGTTAATGTAAATGAAAATAAATAATAACCACAAAACTTTAAATAAAACTTTAATTGATGGATGATCCGTCTATAAATGAGTAAAATATCGATCCTTTTACTATCAAAAACGGCGAAAATATAGAGTGATCTGCGAAAGTATCCATCATTCGTTTTTTTAAAAGTTGAAGCTTTGAAAATGATTCGAAATTTAAATGGTTTTATAGTTTAAAACAGTTTCAGAGTTTTATTGAATAAAAGCTTAATCATTTGATGTAATTGAATACTAAAATTAATTATGAATAGTAACCCCAATTAAAAATAATTATACACTCATTTGTGCTGACATTTTAATAAGTTGCACAAACATAAAAAACTTTTTCATAAAATTAATATGAAAAATCTCACTCATCTCTATATATATCCATAAGAGCAAACTCTTTCTTTTTGATAGTCTTATTAAAAAAATGTATGGATATGTTCTTTGACATCTGTTCCATAATGCAAAACAAAAAACGATTTTTTTATACAAAACTATCAATTCTGACATTTTCCCTTCCGTTGATCATGGATGGATTGTCAAATAAGCCACTAAAAAATGATGATACATTAATTATTTCCTTTTTAAAAATTATATTTTTAGTTGTATTGGGTGTTGATCAATTACTGGATTAATTGGTATTTTTAAAAGTCTTTACCAATTATTACTGGTGCATAACAATACTAATAATGGAATGACAGTTTTAGAGTGGATAACTTTAAGTAAGGTGAGCCTGCTTAGCAAGTAGCCAATCCGTTTTAAGTTATGGAATGTGGTATTATATAAACGTAATAAACTTTACTTCTTGGAATATCTTTAATAGAGTTATTTGGAATATAAGCTATTACACTACTTGGTATTCATACATCTCCAGCAACATGCAATATAGCATCTGTTGAAACAGATGTTATTGAGTCAGATGCATTATTCAGTAGTACATTTCTCTGAAGGAGCTAACAATAATTAGGATATGTGATGTCCAGGAATGAAAGGTAGATTGCATGTTGATGAATAATATGCAATTGACTTTAACAAAACACACAGTAACAATTATGATTGCTTGCCAAAAATTCTCCAGAAATCAATCAGCAGAGCTTTGGCAGATTACAAACTAATTGTTTGTTAGAGTTTCGGCAGAGATTCGCGTTTGAGGGTTTTAGCAATTGGCAGAGTTTCAGCAAGGTGCACACCTATTGTTTATCAGAGTTTTGGAAGAGTTTCGATAGCCATTAGAGGTTTCAGCAAACAACCTTAGTAACAATGCATGAGATATTGTTTGCTGAAAGCTACTAGTAATGATAATATTTCATGATTTTATGGTGGGTCTAGCAACAATTTCATGAAATTGTTGGCATAATGGTTATAGATCGTGATGTATAGCCAAATTAAAGGCTGACGAGAGTTTTAGCCGGGCAACTCAAGGCGTGCGGCTGCAACTATATTCCAGTTATCACTCAACAAATCTTATGGAAAACGTTATGTTGAAACATTCAGACATAGATTATAATTTCCCTTCATAATAACTAATCATAACATATCCATAATTATTCGAACTCTTTAAGTTAAATGGCGTATTAGCATATAGTTATTTTATGTTTATTCATATAAGGAATTTTGAAAACCCGTAAATATTGGAATAATCACTTTTCCTCCAAAAATAATTACAGCAAACAACTATATTATAGATCCTATTGATGATTGATACCAATTGGCTAATCTTTCAACAAGAAATATCAGGTATAGTTAGTTCTTCTTATTTAAGAATTAAATGTGACAACAAGTAGGGCCTTTTTTGAGTCTGTAATTCTCAAGTTACTTTTAAAGACACAAAAATTGTTGGTCCAGAAAAACTACTTGGAAGTTATTGTCAAATAGACAATGTCGCAGAAATATAGTTGGTGTTAATTGAATGTTGACATACTACTATAAGACGGTTTGAATAAACTTTGTAAAGTTACGCTAGCATAGGTGAAGCTAGTGTAAAGACTATCAAATTGCATTATAGCACAACAGGAACAATTAATACAGCAGATGCGCAAACTTTTCAGCACAACAGTATATTGAAAAAGGCGGCATTATTATCCCTGACATGGATCTTGGCGGGGAGGAGTTGAATTTGGAGAAAGGCTTCCTATCAATAGTTTATCAGTAAGTGAAGGCATTCTTTTATTATTAGAAGAAGCTTCCAATTCTGACGCAAATGCTGCTTCTGTTTCTGCTACTGCAGTATATATTATGTTTAATCTTGTGGATAGTTTAGTGGTTATCGGATAAATGGATATTTAAAAGTTGGCCTTATTACAACAATGGATTAACTGAAAAAGGTATATATAAGCATATGTACCAATGTCGGTGGAACGATATTATGATCAAGATGGTGACTTCTACCAACCAGACTGAAATCGTTGACACATGCTATGTTGTGCATATTTATAGCAAGTATTATGCATAGACATGTTGTTTGGCAAATGGAACTTGGTAGAAAGATATTAAATGTATACGAATGTGGAAAGACAGTTCATCAAAATGTACAAAATAGATAAATAATAAAAAATTAATTACTTAAAGTGAATAGATGATTCAGTTATTTATTTATTCAATACAAGCCTTGTCGATTTTGTGACTCTATCATTCCTCAAAATCCAAATGATAAAAAAAATAACAATTCCTTTTATTGTTTCTTGATTAATAACATATTAAGTTTTTTTACATTCTTTGACTAAAATAAAGTTTCTTGACAAGTTTTTTGTTATCAATATAGCCATTTCTCTTTTAACGATTTTTAGTCTTGATTCGGCTGGAATAAGTTTTATCTTTGGAGAAAATTTATAATCAGTCCAAGTAATTGTTTGGAAATCCATTCACTTGTTTTTGACTAAACCTTGCATCAACAGTCTGCAATAGTGGGTGGCGTTACCTATTACTATTGATAATATTCAGCGATTATTAGATCAATATTGAAGATGGCTATATTTTATTATATCACCTTCACTAATTAAAGACTAGTGACGTAATCCAAAAAAGGAAAAAGTATGGTTGCAAAAGTGGTCGCAAAAGTAATTGCAACCACCTTTTATATGCCATAAATACAATTACTACCATCATCATAATTTACGGCACTAGTCTTTATCACTAATACCGAGCCATTATCAAAATCCACAATTAAGAAAAACTACAATAAAATATAGTGAGAAAGAAGGCGATGATAGCATAAATTAAGAAATCAATTTTTATTCTTATAAAAATAAATTTATCCAATTATCCATATTACAAAATATGCTGAAGCAATAAAACGGTTAAAAAAATATAAATTAATGTCAATCGTCAGAGTTTTGACAAGATATATATTAATTGTTCATTAGAGTTTCGACAGAGTTTTGACAGTCACTAAGAGGTTTCGGCAAGCAACCTTACCTTGGTGTTATTACTACCTGGGTGATGCAATTGTTTGTTATGTCAATTATAAACATCAAATGTATTGCATAATCATGTTACCAGAATTATATTTGGACGCTCTTTTTGGCCGAATTTAACTAATTCCGAAATTCTTATTGTTATATTTTAGTTATTTCTATTTTTATAACCTTATTTTTATTAATTTAGTATTACACAGTGAGTCTCGGTATAACGGATATGTTTGTTCCAGGAAATTTATCCGCTATTCCGGGTCGAGATATATGTAAAAAATTGAATTTTTGATTAAATCATGTGATACATGTTACGTAAAAAATTAATTTTATTTTTAATAATATGAATGCAAATAATAATGATGATAATAAAAATACAGTTGGTAAAAAATTAAAAAAAAAACCAATTCATTCACTTAAAACGTTGACATTATAATAATCTTCCATTCTTGTTTGCACTTGTTCTTGAGAATTTTTGTAAGAAATTTCACTTTTTA